ATCTTTCCTACAGGCGCGGGCGGCGGCTCTGCTCTCTCCTTATTCCAATTGGGGTGTCATGGCTACCACGCCGGCAGGTCACTGGGCCTGTTCTGGGCGCTGGCGGCGGCTCTGTTCTGCCCCTACTCCAATTGGGGTGACGAGTGTACCACGCCGGCAGGCCACCGGGCCTGATCCGCCGGTCGGTTGCAGGTTTGGCTACCCTGCAGGCGCGGGCGGCGGCTCTACTCTGCCCCTACTCCAAATGGGGTGATGTGTCTGTCATACCGGCAGGCCACTGGGCCTGTCCCGCTGGTCGGTCGCAGATCTGCCCACCTTTCGGGCACAGGTGGAGGCTCTGCTCTGTCCCTACTCCAATTGGGGTGTCGTGACTACCCCGCCTGCAGGACACTGGGCCTGTTCCTGGCACAGGCGGCGACTCTGCTCTGCCCCTACTCCAATTAGGGTGGTGTGTGTACCACGCCGGCAGGCTCCTGGGCCTGATCCGCCGGTCTGTTGCAGGTCTGCCTACCTTGGAGGCGCGGGCGGCGGATCTGCCCTGCCCCTCCTACCACGCCTGCGGACCCCTGGGCCTGATCTGCAGGTTGGTCACAGGTCTGCTCACCCTGCGGGCACGGGTGGCGGTTCCGCTCCGCCCCCACTCCAATTGGGGTCACGTGACCACCACACCGGCAGGGCCTGATCCGGGCGTGGGAGAAGGATCTGCTCTGCCCCTACTCCAGTTGGGGTGACGTGTGTACCACACTGGCAGGCCACTGGGCCTGACCCGCCAGGCTGTCACAGGTCTGTTTACCTTGGAAGCGCGAACAGCGGCTCTGCCTTGCCCCTCCTACCATGCCCATGTACCACTGGGTCGCGGTCTGCCCACCTTGCGGGTGCGGGTGGCGGCTCCGCTCCGCCCCCTCTCCAATTGGGGTCACGCGGTCACCACACTGGCGAGCCGCTGGGCCTGCTCCGGGCGCTGGCGGTGGCCCGGCTCCTCCCCTCTGGCTCAATGACAAATTGAGGAGACTCGGGTGTCTGTGCCTCACCCCCCCTACCAGGAGACCAACTGTTTATGTCGCCGCTGGTATTGATGAAGTTCTCTCCTCCGCCGCTTTCTGATGACATCAGATCTCTGCCATGTTGGTATCCTATGCGAATGGCAGCATTTCGTTCCCCTTGCCGGGCAACCAAAGCAACGGGTGAGTCCTGACCGGCCCTCAGCAGGACCCGGACCGAGAAGCAGTTTCCGCGGGCTCCTAGCCCCGGGCCAGGGAAGTTCCGGGAGCCAGAACTCGGCCGCTCCGTGCTCAGTGTAAGCTCCTATAAGTGTAGGCTCCAAGAAGCAGTCCCCGCGGGCTCAGTTCCGGGAGCCGGAATTCGGCCGCTTAGTGTTTGGTGTATGCTCTGATAGGAGCAGGGTCCAAGAAGCAGCCTCCGCAGGCTCCGCAGCCCTGGGCCAGGGCGGTTCCGGGACGGTTCCGGGAGCCGGAACTCGGCCGCCCCGCGCTCGGTGTTCGCTCCGATAAGATCAGGTTCTAAGAAGCACCCAGGCACTGAACCCTAGCAATCTGTCTGCAAGCCGCAGGCGAATGGCAGCCTGAAATTACCTGTTCTATGGCTGAATGAGCTGAGGTCAGTCGAAAACAGGGATGGTGACGTCAGCTTTCCAACATGGTGGCTGCTGGCCTCCTCTGTGGTCTGACCGGTGTGGAGAACCGAGATGGACCGCTTCCTTCCCCCGTCTTGAACCAAGAATTCAGCCCTGAGTACGGTGCTTGCACGGCTGGCAGAAACTGCAGCGCTGTATCCCTGCGTCGCTATCTCCTCGTTTCCCAGTGCGCGCTGCAGACTCTAGCCGCGGGGCGGTTTGCTGAATAAGCAGTGTTACCCTCCGTGCGACAAACCTCTGGCGTTTGAGTCCCCGTAGCCGATCCTCGTGCGATGGAAATCCTTCCTCCAGGTTCTGGAGCACCCCACTATTGCTGGAAATTCCTAACAAGATAGCCTTTAGCCATCCTGACTTGTCATACTCCCACACAGTGAAGCAGCACACGGGGGCAATGCACTCCCCTCGCCGCCATCTTCCTTCCCCCTCAGTGTTTGGCTTTAAAATATTTTATCTTATGTTATGGTTGAGCATAGAGGTTCAACTACAGTAGCAGGAGAGCCAACTGGGCAGGTTCTGAACTGGGATTCACACATACTAGGAGTACTGAGACAAGCAACAGACCCTGGGTATGGGGAACAGTTGCTTCTCACAAAATCTAGCCACATATTTGGGGTTGTCTCCAAGGTATGAGGAACTCAGAAGTGGTGAATCTAGAGGGACAAAATATGTGGGTGGGATGGTACTAGTTGAAAGTTTCAGGAAAGTCTGTCATCAGGATTAAAACCATTTCCTCAGGACTGTGGGCATGGCCGTAGGGCGGTCACAGACTGGCCAGAGCAAACCCTGCAACTTATTGAGTACTGGATATATCATCAAAGCAGGGATCCACATACAAGTCCACACCTGGGAATAGCTCCAGGATTGGAATAATAACAAATATTAGTTACTGAATGCTTTCCGTGTACCAGGACCTTGCAAGCATTCTGTGTGTATTGTTTCACTACATCCAAAGTTGAATCCCATGAACCTCTATAGTCAGGGTCACTTAAAAAACACAAAAGTGGCAATTATGATTAAAAAGACAATCAAAAATAAAGAAATCAGATCAAACCTTATCATTTCAAGATCAAATCAAGAAGGAAAGTTATATACTAACATGCACCGACTATTAATATAGAGGGTAAAATAACCATCACAGAAACAATCAAGCATAAAAATGAGATACGAAACCAAATTATTCTCAGTTATGAAACCAAATTATTCCCAATTTTATAGGAAATAACGTCAGGGGAAAAAACCTAAATCATTACTTACAGATTTATATTTTTCATAAAAGCTACTTATATGCCAAGTATTTCACCAATGGTTAATTTTCTTTCAATTTCAAACAACTAAGAAAGATAATTTCAGGTAGATGATAGATAGATAGATAGATAGATAGATAGATAGATAGATAGAGGCTCAGAAAACATTTTACAAACATATCATTCTTGAATGTAAAATACTTTAGATAGCTACTAGTTCACCAAAGAATGCATCAAAATTAGAATTCAGGAACAAAGAATGTGACAGACTGCTCTAGAGATATCTCAAAAGGTAGTTTCCAAATTGTCACAGAGGCTTGAAGATAATCCATGCTGATACCATTATCATGCATGTTGTAAGAGACTTGAATGTGGGTGGTCTGAGGTCTCTTTTGGTGTCATGTCTCTACAATTAAATGACAGCAATTTCAATGTGGAAGGTTTTCCTTTAGTATTGAAATAATGCTACAATGAGCAAAAATTTTTCTCTAGATCTTTCTCTCCCTCAGTTTATGATTCACTACTAGACTCAATTATTTAATTAAATAATATTATAATTGTGTTTTTAAAAATAATGTTTGAGAAGAATACAGGCTTATCTTTGTTTTTTTTTCCTTTTATTGTTCTTCTGGTTACTTGATGTTTTTCATTAAAATATGAACATGAAGAAGTAATAAAGATGGGACTTTTCTAAATTATATACACAAAATCCATGATATATTTATGTAATCTATTAAACTAGCATAACATACCTCTCAAATGTTTATACTGTTGAATAAAATGTATAACCCTCGTGAAAAATCTTTTTTCAGAGGTGGACTTAATCTTTTTTTTAAGGTTGTTCGTGGTAACAGTCTGGACTTGCAGCTTCCTCTCACAACTTCTTGTGACTTTTGGAGAAACTGAGTAGCAATATGTGGAGGGAATCCTTCCAAGATCAACTTGTTCAGTTTATAGACAAGGGATCTGAAGTTGATGAATTGTTCCTAGAGCTGACTTCCTCAAATTTCCTCAGTCTGCCCTGAGATGACCTTTTCCATTACACTCCCTCTGGCATTGCTAAGAAAAAAGAAAGAAATCCACCAACACTGAACCACACTTACCATAGCAAAAGGAAGAAAACAAATTTTATGATTATTTCATAATAAGCTTCATGAAACTTTAATAGCCAATGTTATAAATAAATTAACTGTACTAAGCACAAACTAACAAAAATTATTATAATTTGTATTTGAATTCTCTAACAATGAGGCCATGATGCATCTTGGCATTTTCTGGATTTTTTGAGACCTGATAGAGTTACCCTTAGCAAAAACCACCATAAGAAAGATAAGTATAAGACCCTGTTGTTAATGAAATCTTTGAAGAAGATAATCCTATAACCATCAGAAATCCATTGACAAGCTAGGTGTCATGGTGCAGCCTGTAAACCCAGTGGCTCAGGAGGCTGAGGCAGGAGGATCATAAGTTCAAAGCCAACCTCAGCAACTAGTGAGACCCTAAGCAACTTAGCAAGACTGTGTCTCAAAATAAACAATACAAAGGGCTGGGGAATGTGGCTCAGTGGCTAAGCAACCTAGGAGTCCAATTCCCAGTAGGAAAAAAAAAAAAAAAAAACAAGAAACCCACTAACAAGATTTAGTAAAATTCACACAATGTTTTATGTTATGGAAAGAAAGGTTTAAATTTCTAGATTAAAAAATACCATTCTCTAGAGTTGAATTGGTCATAACGTGGTAGGAACAAGGACTGCTCTTTATTGAGCTCCACACAGTTTACAAAGTTTGTTTTATTTAATCTTTTGTAAATTTTGTAACAAAAATAGTATACAGGACATAAAGTGACAGCAAATAATAAGTGTTTATTAATTTAATTTGTTAAATTGAGGCTTTACCAAAATCCTATGAAAGAAATGGCATTGTCCCTATTTTGTAGTTGAGGAAAAAGATGGAAATGAACCAGCTTTCTCAAGATCACATAACAGAAATCATTTGAAAACACAAATGTAACTGACGTAACAGTTTTCACATATGGGATCGTATTATGTTGTGACTTTTTATAAAGTAGATACTATTTTATTGGCTGAATTTTTTTATTTTCAGGTATTTTCTTATACAGCCGACAAAGAAATCCGAACTGATGACTTATGCTTGGATGTGTCCAGACTCAACGGACCTGTAATCATGCTAAAGTGCCACCACATGAGAGGAAATCAACTATGGGAATACGATGCTGAGGTAGAGTATTTTCCCTAACTTCTTAATTAATGCTTAAGGTCAGTTACATATTTTTAAAATGTTAATCCTACTCTTTTGTTTTTCTGCATTGGAAGAATTATATTCCAACCATTCATGCTCAGATGTGATGACATTAGGAGGGCATATCATATAAGTAGGCTTTAGTTAAACTGGTCCATTAGTATGAAACATGAATAATCATTGTTATATGCTTAAAATATGTGATCTCCATGTAAATGTCCAATATAAATTAGGCCAGGGGCGAGCTATACTTATCTGAGAGGTACATATGAAGATGTTCGTATAGCACAATTTGACAATATGTTCTTATTTTCAATTTTTTTAATCTTGCACCATTGTAATCCCTGATATGTTTACTATTATAAAGAATATGGCAAAGAATTCTTTGCTATTTAACATAGAAAATGTTTTCCAGAATTTGATAAACCAGTTTGTCATATAATAAGCCAATATAGCGCACCTTTCTGATAGAGAAGAAAGTAGAGAAAAAACAAAATTATTGATGGGAATTTATAGCTAGGCAATGTGTAAAAATCAGTTCAGCCATCAGATGGAGCTAATAAAAAAGAAATATTTTCTTCAACATAAGGAAGCAGCCTCAGAAACAGATTCAGTACTTTCATTTCCCTTTGCTTAGCAAAATGAATTTGTCATACGTGTCACATTTTCAACATTATTAATTGGTCACTGATGTATTTTAAAGAAGAACTGAACTTTATTTTACAAGATAAATAATATAGTAGAGATAAATGGGTCTCACAGATGCAGTGTTCCATATAAGCTTAAAATATTCTGCAATAAAAATATTTAAAAAACAATCTATAGAGTTTTCAGTATTGTTGATATTTTAAACCGGGTCTTCTTTTGAAAACTTTTTGAGTGCCATTCTAATTTGCATGACTTTATGTTTCCTAAGATGAATATCAGGAAAACTGACTGAATTTGTATGGGATTTAAAACTGGTTATATAGGATTAATTCTGGCCTGAAATTTATATAATGTTACTAGTCTCTTGGGACAAAAATTCTTCTGGGACATAATTAAGGACAAACATCGAGATTCCTTTCTGTGTTGTGGCAATGTGTTCTATTGATACTCCTTGCCTGTCAGTATCTTATTCACCTTCTTTGGTCACCATTCTTTTTATCTTCAACTATTATCTGTTATCACTGTTCTTTACATTAAAGCTAGAGAAGACTTTTTCCTCTACTAAAAAAGTATCTAAATCTAAACTCTTAAATCAGTGCACTACCTCTTCTATGAGGAGAAGGAAAGACAAATGTACAGAAAAAGTAGAAATCCTAAAGTAACATTTATTTTTAAATAAAACATTTTATTGTTGATGCTTAGTTTCTTTCAAATGCCAGAAATTTGTTTGGCTTGTACCAAAAGTAAGAGACTATAGCATAAATTTATTCAGATAGGGGAATGATAATTAATTTTGATAAGATATAGCACAATCAAATTTCAGAATACCACTTTTAGTCTTCAAACTTTTCTGTACCTCTTGAGTGAACAATGACTTCTATACTTATAACTGAAGTTGCTTCATTTCTAAAGTAATTCCTGTTAGTAGTTAAGTGTAAACTTTTTTAAAGTGTATATATTCTGTCAGTAACAATGTTGTTGAATGCTAAGGAAGTTTACAAGACAAGTAAAAAGTATGGCTTCATCTAAGATTAAAAAAAAATGTTCTTTTTTTGAAAATTTACCCTTTTGGATGATTAGCAGTTATCTGTTGTATTTCAGAGCACTGTAAAATTTCAAGCCACATTAACTTTGCTTTTAGAATATACACACGCAAGCTTATAATGTGCCATAAATGTTAAGAAATTTCATTTTAAATAAGTAATCTGATCACGTTACATACAAATAAGTGTCAGAATTTAATTTACTCTCCTATATGTTTATATACTTTGAAAATTATATTGTACAACTTGTCTAATGTCATCACTTTGCCAAATTTTTAGAAATAAGTAAATCATATTGTAGAGAATCACCTGAGAATAGAACAATGATAGGAATAATGCCCTGCCTTTTCAAAATTTCAAGTTTGAAATTTGATTTTATGTGTCAGAAGTCATTTAAAAAGAGTTAGTTTCCAACAAAATTGAAATAAAACATTTATTTTTTTATGGTTTCCTTTAATTTTAAGTTTCATGTTTAGAGTCCCTTTAGTCCACTTAACAGTCCCTATACTTGCTACCCAGAGGGTGGTTCTAGGATCAGTGGCATGCATCACCTGGGAACTTATTAGAAAAATAGAATGTGAGAACTGTGCTTGACACCCTAAGTCCAAATCTCTATTTTAACAATCTCCATTAAAGTTTGGTCTAGACAGTGCCAAATATCTATGAACTTCCCGTGGTGTTTTATGTGCTGTTGGAAATTATTGCAAACTTGGGGGGGGGGGGGACCATGAATGCACTTTGGAAAATGCAAGGCTTCCAGGGGGTCTAAGGGAGAGAAAGGAAGCAAAGGGCGAGAGGTGCTGGGATGTGAATGAGTCATTGCTCTGTAGCTCTAGTCTTCAGAGTGGAAAATGGGTGAGAGCTGCTCACCGATTCTTCAGTTCTTTATCCTTTGCTAGCAAGGGCAAAATTATTATTCTTTGAGAAACCTCTGAGGTCATGCAGTTTCAAGGCAGAATAAAAATTGGTGGAGTTCACAGAATTACAGAGCTGAAACGTACCTTAAAGTTCTCTTCTTCCAACCTTTATCAGGAGAAAGCTAAAGCACAAAGATTACCCTGCTAGCAGCAGAGCTAGGATTTAGGTTCTAATAAAGTTTTCAAAGAAGCTAGTTATCAGTACAGTTTTGAATCTTACAGTGTGAACAGCTGAAAGATTCCATCACCTTATCTCCTATACTCCTTTCAGTCTTAGAAAGGAAAGTCATAAATAGGAGCAGAATTGTTGAAATATCCAGAGACAAATGGAAACAGTGTCATGAGCCCTGAAAACATGGAGTCTATCCAGCTGCTTCAGAATAGAGTTAACCGAGTGCTATATAATTTTATCTGTTTTCTTATACAATTGAATGGTCTTATAAGATTGAGCTTTTTATGCTCTGTGTTTATCATATTAATAAACTGGAGCATAGAATAAATATTGGCTAAGTTTGCACACTCAGATTTCTGGTATTTAATCTAGCAATTTTTCTACTGTACTACATTATTTCTCAAGGTAATTGAAAAACTATAAATAACTAGAGGCTCCCAATGGTGAAGATCTAATAAGCTAAATGTACAGTATTGTAAATAAGATAATCAAATGTTAACAGTTATTTGCAGTACCAAATTTTGTTCACATAAGATTTCTCCTTTTCTTAATAATAGGAAAATTATTCTTCGATAAATATGGTCTATTTAGATAAACAGTCATGAAACTACTCTGACACTATGGTCTAATGCTTGCACACTTTAGTTACTCATATTCTGAATATAATTAATGTTCAGTTGCTTTCCTTTCAATTAAATGAAATAAGCTTGTGTTTATAATAAATGCATACTGTTGATTTACTCTGATTTGAAATATAGAATTTCTCACTTTCCTAACTCAACATTTCTCTTTTGTTGTTGTGTTTTTCTGGTATTTTGTGGTTCTGGAGATTCAAACCCAGGGCTTTACACATGCTGGGCAAATACTGTACCACTGAACTACATAGTCAGCCAATAACTAAATATTTCTTAAATAGCACAATTATAAACTTAACTTGCTGTCTGTCACTTTTTACCTGGTCTAATTTGCTTGATTTGGAGGCAACCTGAGCATCATTAGCAGAGTTATGGAATATCCACCTGGTCTATAATCTCTTGAATAAATTACCAGTCAAACACTTCAGTGCAATGAAATGCATATTGTCACAGAGTCAAACAAAAGAGAAAAACTAAATTGAATCTAACAGAGAAATATTTATTTATTAATGGTGCTGGGGACACTGAAGTGATTTTTTAAATTATTTTTATAAAAGTCTATTGCTCATCCATTCTCTTTTATTCAAATTTTCTTATAGGCTGTTGCACATCCTAAGTGTATTCCAATCTCCTTCAAATTTACATTTTCCTGCAGTATGTGCACTTAATCACATTTCTTTTTGAACATCTAGGCAGCTACATACAGTGTGAGAATCTAATTTTAGATCAGAACACTTGTGCTCAACAAACACTATGCAACAAAGAAAAAAAGGGAGCAAAATATGATGCTAAAAATAAGTCTTGTTTTTCATGTGACTGAGCAAGTTGACTGAGAAAATACTTGTTATGAATTCTATACCCATCTGTATGAAATGTTTCTCAGAGATGAAATATAAGGATTTTTTTCAGTAGGTAAATTATGTTAGATTAATATTTACTGAAATCACAGAAGCTTATATTTAGACTTTACTTACTACCCTCCTCTTTTATTTATCTTTATCAGAAAGCAGGTAAATGGGAATATAATTTCAAGGTAAGTAATCTATAAATACAATGTAGCCATATCCCTGTGTAGAATTCCTAATAAAAACAATGGCTTGGTTTACCTTTTGAAGGAGGTAACCATTAGACATTACCCCTTAGCTTTGATTTTGCATTAGAAACAACTAGTGAATAGAAGTTTCAATAGATAAGTGCTGCAGTTGTAGCTCCTCCTTGTTAATCATCTATGCTTGAGTTTTAGAATGCTTACATCCCATTCTACTGACTGCACAGACTGCTTTGTCAGGTGATCATAATTAATATTTGAATAACAACTTTACCACATAAATTGTAAAGAGTTGTTATTCTGTACTTGGTCAATAAGGGAAACCTAGCACCTATGTCATGAAATTAAATACCTAAAATAGTCCAAGTTTATTCTTAATCCATTTATCATTATATAAGATAACAATTAATTTTATTGGTTTTATTTTAAACTTTTAGTATGCCAACTGAGACTTGTATGATTGGCTCTTAAATCAACTATGCAGTCAGTTGTATTTGTTTATTTAAATATTGTTTT